GGCTTGCTAAAGCACCGTCACGGACAAGCGTCGACCGGCTCTAGTTTAACTCCTTTCCCACCTCTGTCCATCGTGTGAGAGGCTTAGGAGGCTTCCCGTGTGATGAAGATGGTTCGACTAGCTAGGCACACGGAGAAGATAAAGCTGCCCTCCTGCCTCTTCTCAGGCGCGCCCACACACACGCACCACGGTTTGATCAAAGATTTCAAAATTTAAAATGACGCCCCTCCCTTTAAAAAAAAAAAAAAGGTGAAAATATGGGAGAATTTTTTAAATGCTTGAAGAAGGCCTTTCTAAACATAACAGAACACTTTGAAGCCATTCAGGAAAAGTTTAATGAATCTGACCACGTAAAAACTATGCATTTTTCTGTGGCCCAAAGTAAAAAACACAAATGACAAACTAGGAAAAATATTTGCAACACATGTAATAGATGAAGGGCTGTCACTTGTCAATTAACAACAACAAAAGTAGACAATGGGCAGTTCACGAAAGAAGAAATTTAAAAACACATAAACTGCTCGACCTCAAATAAAATGTATGGTATATTGAACTACTTTTCACCCAGCAGAGACTTAAAACTTTCATAATACCCTATGCTGGGTGCATAAGGAAGCAGTCATTCTCATAAAGTTGATAGTAATAAAATTAATGCACATGCGTTGGAAAGAGGTTTGAAAATATCAATGTTTTAAATGCACATGCTCTTTGACTATCAGTGCAACACCAGGACATCAAATAGATACACTCACATAAGTGCAAAAATATGTGAATCCAATATTCCTTGCAGCATGGTTTGTAATGCTGAAAAACTAGACACAATTTGAATGTTGGGCAATAGGGGAGTGATTAAATAAGTTATGGTGCGTGCGGTGGTAGGCAGAATAATGANAACACCAGGACATCAAATAGATACACTCACATAAGTGCAAAAATATGTGAGTCCAATATTCCTTGCAGCATGTTTTGTAATGCTGAAAAACTAGACACAATCTGAATGTTGGTCAATAGGGGAGTGATTAAATAAGTTATGGTGTGTGCGGTGGTAGGCAGAATAATGACCCCCCCAAAGATGTCCACATCCTAATCTCTGAAACCTGAGAATGAGTTACCTCATGTAGCAAAAGGAACTTTGTGGGTGTGATTAAAGATCTTTAAATGAGAAGATTATTTTAGATTATCCAAGTGTGCCCAACGTAACTAGAGTCTTTATAAGAGGGAGACAGGAGACCAGGGAGAAAAAGGCAATTATGATACCTAAAGCGGAGATTGGAGTGATTTGGCACCACAAGCCAAGGAATTCATACATCCTGTAGAAGCTAGAAAAGGCAACAAAAGGACCTTCTAATCCTTCAGAAAAAATGCAGCCCTGCCTACCCATTTCAAACATAATATAACTGNAAAGGCAACAAAAGGACCTTCTAATCCTTCAGAAAAAATGCAGCCCTGCCTACCCATTTCAAACGTAATATAACTGTGTTATTTTAAGCCACGAAGTTTGTGGTAATTTGTTACAGCAGCAATAGGGAACTAACACAAATGTGTATCAGAAGACTATACAGCTATTAAAAAGAAAGAATTGGAATATGTGCACATATAGACAATGCAGTATTTACATTTTTGTCCTAAAGGAGCAGGCCACACAACTGGAGACACAGCATGCACATGGGGAAAGGCAGAATGTGGTTACTGCCAAGAAAGTAATGTGGAGAGGTAGGGTGATCTTAGCAATCTTATTACTGGCCTCTTGATCTTGACCATCTGTGAACAAAACCTGAGGACATTAGGCTTTGCAAGTTGATCTATTATCTTGACCATCTGTGAACAAAACCTGAGGACATTAGGCTTTGCAAGTTGATCTATTAACTACCAACAGCAATAATAATATCAATATAGTATTTATACTTTAACAATTGCTTCTTATTTAGCAGTAACCATGGGTCAGGATATTTACCTCTCTTATTTCATTTATCCTTGGACCAACTCTGTAACAGAGAGGTTTATCCTCATGTTATAGATGAGGAAACTGAGGCTCAGTCAATATAAGTGATCAAACTATGTTTACCTGACATCCAAATCCATATTCTTGTTATTTTATATGGTAATAATCTGCTTGGGTCTTAGAAACCACCCTGAGAATAAGGCTCCAACCGTGTGGCGTACAGGAGCCTTCATAATCTCGCTTCTACCTCCCCCTCTGACTTTATTTCCTATCACCATCCCCTTGCTCACTCTGGCCTGGTCACATTCCTTAGTGTTTCTCAAACACTCCAATTTTTGTTCCAGTTTAAATCTTTTAATTTGCTTTTCTCTCTGCTTGGAATGCCCCCTGATATTCCCATGTCTTCTTCCTTCACATCGGTCAGGTCTCTGCACAAATGTCACCTCCTCAGAGAGCCCTTCTCTGATATCCCACACACACCTCTACTACTGTCCCATCAGTCCATGTCCTATCTTCATCACACTTATCACACCATACAGTATTTGTTTATTGTCTGTCTCCCCCGCTAGCATGTCAGCTTGTTCACTGCTATGTCCTCTATCCTAGCATGTGGCCACCATGCTCAAGAACTGTTTGCTGAATTAGACTTTGCAATCCCTTGGCATCATTTTCTTGCACGTTTCACCTTACACCATATTAAAGATATTAAAGTACACCTACATTCTACATTAACTTTATGTAGAAAAATAATGGTTAACATTTATTGAGCATTTACTGTGTGAGGACTCTTTTAAGTGCTTTACAAATACTCATTTAATTCTCACAACCCCATGAGGTAGATGTTATTATTATCCCACCTTACAGATGAGTAAGCCGAAGCCAGTTACTTTTGTCTATGGTAAAATAGCTAATAGCCCTGGCCGGTGTGGCTAGTGGTTAGAGTGTTGGGCCCGAGCACCAAAGGGTGGTGGGGTTGATTCCCAGTCAAGGGCACATACCTGGGTTGCAGGTTTGATTTTGGCCCTAGTCCAGGGGGTGCAGGAGGTAACCAACCAATGTGTCTCTCTCACATCGATGTTTCTCTATCTCCCTTCCACTCTCTCTAAAAATCAATGGAAAAAATATCCTCGAGGGAAGAAAAATAAAAACCAATGGAATCCAGTTGGTGTGGCTCAGGGGTTGAGTGTCAACCTATAAACCAGGAGGTCATAGTTCGATTCCGTCAGGGCACATGCCCAGGTTGTGGACTCGATCCCTGGTGTGGAGCATGGAGGAGGCAGCCAATCAATGACTCTCATCACTGATGTTTCTCTCTCTTTGTCCCTCTCCTTCCATCTTTCTCTGAAATCAATTTTTAAAAAATGGAAAAAATATTCTCTGGTGAGGATTAACAAAATGAATAAAATAGCTAATAAATGGCAAAGGAGCATTGGAACCCTTAATACTACAAAATTGAGTTGAGGATGACTTGTTGACCTAAAATTATGTTTTGTAGCCATTTAATTGAACAGCTATTAATTTCAGGGGTGTTTTGTTTTCACTTATCTAGATACTTAATTCCTTGCAACAATACTTTGGTTTTGAACTTCTTTTGTTAAATTGATCTCTAAGTTTTATTCTTTTTTACGCTATTGTAAATGTTTCCTTAATTTCATTTTCTGATTGTTTGCTGCTCCTGTATAAAAGTACAATTGATTTTTGTGTTTTGATCGTGTATTGTGAGCCTTATTGAATTCTCATTACATTAGCTCTAGGTGTCTTTTCCTATCGATCCCTTAGGATTTTCCAAACACCAGTGTACTTGTTTCCTGGGCCTGCCACAACCAAGTACCACAGAGCGAGCACTTTAAGCAACAAAATGTGTTGTCTCCTAATTCCAGAGGCTGGAGGTCCGAAATAAAGGCGTCAGCAGGTTTGTTCCTTGAGAGAGCTTCCCTCCTACGTCTCTGCACATAGTCTTCCTTTGATGCATTTCCTCTGTGTTCAAATCTCCTCTTTTTAAACAGCCACCGGTCATAGTGGAACAGGGTCCGCCCTCACGACCTCGCCTCAGCTTGAAAACCTCTGGGAGCCGCAAGAGCAGATCGGGTCCCGCCCGGAGGCGCTGGGGGTGCGCGCTTCCCCTTCATCTCTCTGTGCGGGCTCCGGACGAGACACGGCGGCCCCGTCCTCCCCGCGCCGCCAGGGAGCGAACACACGTGGTTTTACTTCTTCCCAACCTGGATTCTTTTCCTTGCTCATCGCCCCGGCCACGCCGCCAGGGCAACGTGGACGAGAGGAGGCCGGAGTGGGCACCCTGGTCTTGCTGCATCACAGCCGTTGTGTGTGTGTTTTTCATTCTGGGCGCGCTCTCTCCCTCAGGTCCCTTTGCTGGCTGTTCACTTGAGGAAGGAGGAACCCACGGCGTCCCGCTCCCCTCTCGCCCGGGCGGGGGCTCATCCTGCCCCCGGCCCCCACCAAACCCACCGCTCACAGCGCGGCCAAGGTGGCGTTTCTGAAACTCCAATCGAACCCGGCTCCGCACTCACCACTTCTGTGGCCGGAATGACTTCAGCTCCCAGAGGCCTCCGCTTCAGGTCTTAACGGGGTGATCGCAAGGGCGCCTCCACCGCGGGGCTGCTGAGGACCGGCGCCTGGCGCAGTCAGCGCCTCGCGGCCGCCGGCCCTCCTCTCCCTTCCCCCGGCCGCAGGACATTTACACCCGCGGCTCTTTCTGCGCGTCGAGCCCCGGTCTAAGCGCAGCAGCGACGCTGACGTGGTTCCCCCCGAGTCATGCACCGGCCCCGTCCTTCCTAGGAGCTCCAGCCCCGCAACTGTTTCTTGTTTTTGTTTTTCCCCCCAGCGCTCAGCCTCAAAGGCTTGCCCTTTTTGCTCCTGTGGTGAGCAGCTCTGTCCTCTCCACCTCGCTGGTTCCCGCGGACCCTTCGGGACACCCCGTCGGGACACCCAATGGCGGCCACGCCTCAGGGTTTCCCGCTGAGGCGCCGCAGCCGCTCCCATCGCCCCCGTCGCCGCGCTGCCCGCACGGCGTGGCTCACTCCTCGGTCACCCGTCTCTGCCTGCGACTTCTCTGACCTAGCATCTAAGCAACTATCCAACACTTACTACAGAAAAGATGAACCTGGACAATAAAACAAAACTGAAAATTGGGAGCTGTCTCAAAGGATCCTTTATTTGTAGTCTGCGTTTAATGACGCCGGTAATATTTTCAGTTCTCCCTCCCGCCCCCACCCCCTTCAATTCGCGAGTTTCTTCGCGTACCTAGGCAGCCGGTTGCTTTATAAAGAAAACCCGAAGGTATCAAACCGCACAGCCGGCAACTGCGGGGACCCGCTAAAGAAAGATGGCGGCCGCCTCTCAGCGGCCCCCGAATCCCCACCCTCTCAGGGCGGAGCGCTGTGTCACGTGACCCTTCCCTGTGCGGCACCGCCTCCGGCCGCAGTGCCTGACGGGAGACAGAGCAGCGAACGAGGGCGTCGGCCATTTTGTGCCTGTTTCCTGTGGGACGCGGTTGTGGCCGTTGGGTCTGAAGAGGGAGCGATTTTTTCGCCTCGTTTTTCCTGCTTATTTTCTCCTCCCTTTTTGTTTTATCAGTAGAGCGCAGTTATGGGTCGCAAGAAGAAGAAGCAGCTGAAGCCGTGGTGCTGGTATCCTTTGTCAGTTTGAAGTTGCGGCCGCGCTGCGGCGCCGGCTGGTGGTGACTGGGAGGCCTGGCTTTGGCCTATGGCGGAGAGTCTGGGATCTAGGCCTCAGGGTGGGTAACTTGGTGGCTGGAGTCGGATTTGGGAAGTCTTTTAAGGAAATGGGGTCTCTAGGGCGAGAGGCTCTGGCAGTTGTGGGTCGTGGGACTCAGTGACTCAGGAGATTTCTGGTTCGGTGCGAGCGTTGACTCACTGGGAGGCGGCTTGGATCCCTCCATCAAGGACAGTGTCTCCTAAGGACTCTTCTCCTCTACCCCGTTGTTTTGGTGACGATTCAACAATGGGACTTTCTTCAAGTAAAACACTTCGATTGACTCTACGAAGGGTTAGGGGAGAGCTTCCGGAGTCAGCCACCCACTTTTTTTTTTTTTTTAAGACTCGGTGGTGGTTTAGTAAAGGCTTATGTTAGTCAACCAGGATTTCAAACCTTTTCCTTTCTTTTTTGCGCGGGTTGGGGGGTGGGGCGGGAGAACTAGCTTCCGCGTCTCACCGCCTGGCGCCTCAGTCTTCAAGAAGCGTTCCTCGTGCAGGGTGGAGTTTGTCTCTATTACCTGGCTTTGTAGGGCTAAAAAAAAATACTTCATATGCCTAAAAGCAGTTTGTTACAGAGCTGCATTTATTTATATAATAGTTGACGGTTAGGAATTTTGTAATTTTCAGGAAAATCTTACTAATGAGGTAATTCTGTTTTATTGATGTAACTGATCCTCTTGAGTTTAAATACATTCCTCGGCAATATAAATTAATACGGAATTGCAAACGACTTTATGGATTAAGTTGCGTCATTCTTATTCACCGTGAACTTTATCTTAGATTTTAAAGTAAACTTACGTTATAAACAGTAGGTAAATCTTAGTATTTTGATTACTTTTAATCTCTCTAATGAATGAGTTCTGTTTTGAAATTCTATCTTGACATAAAGTTGGGAATTTTCTAGCACTGAACCCTTCCAATCCACAGTATGCATTTGTAAATGTTCAAATATTGGACAAAACACTAGCTAATTTCGCATAAATCTCTGTTAAACACATAAGTTTCAAAAACTATATTGAAATGTGTTCAGGAGCATTGAAGAGAGATTATGAGCTTCCAGGAAATATGCTAAAATTACATGGCAAGGCAATCCCTAATTGTATAAGAAATATTAAAAGCAAAGTTTCTGTAAAGTACCTTTTTGGTTTTCACTGTTCCCATTTTTTAATGTTATTCCTATTCTCTTATCATATGACAGGTTGGTTTTTTTTAATAGGCAGTGTCATGTTATTTTTGTGCCTTAACGGTATTGATCAGGTATTGTAATAGAGATTTTGATGATGAGAAGATCCTTATACAGCACCAAAAAGCAAAACATTTTAAATGCCATATATGTCATAAGAAATTGTACACAGGACCTGGTTTGGCTATACATTGCATGCAGGTAAGGATTTTTCTCCTGTACTTAAATTTTACTCCCTTTTACTTTGGAAACAACATGATTGGGGGGGGGGAGTCATGAATATTTCTTTAATAGTTGTAGGTTATTTTTGCTGTTT